GATTTCTGCACGTTAGCAGCAAACAATCTGAAAAAGAGATTTTTTAAAAATTCGTTTACAATGACATCAAAAAGAGCAAAATAGAAATAAATTTAACAACAGAAGTGTACAATGTATACGCTGAAAACTACAAAGCGTAACTGAAGGCAATCAGGAGGACCTAGATAAATGGCAAGGCAGCCCACGTGCATGGCTTGGAAGACGCAGTATCATTAACACGGAAATCGTCCCCAGGTTGATCTGCAGACTCAGCACAACCCTGTCCAAGTCCCAGCTGCCTGCTTTTCTTTTTCTTTTAAACAAAACTTGACAAGCAGATCCTAAAATTTATATGGAAACCCCAGGGACCCACAGTGGCCAAAACAATCTTGGAAAAGTACAAAGCTGGAGGCTTTGTACCCACGCTTCCCAGGTTCACATTTACTACACAGCATAGTGACCAAGTCAGCGAGGCCCAGGGACAGACATCCGGTCAGTGGAACGGAGCAGAGTCCACAAATAAAATCGCCTGTCTGGGGTCAGCTGGTTTTCAGCAGACGTGCCAGAGCAGTTCACTGGAGAAAGAGTCACCTTTTCAGCAAGTGGCCCTGGGACAGCCGGACGTCCACGCGCAGAAGAATGAGGGTGGACCCTGACCTAGCACCACAGACGAAAGCAAGGGGAAAAATGGATTAAACCCCAGTGTGGAGCTAAGCCTGTAGACGCCGTAGGGAAGAACGCAGGAGCAGATCTTTGTGGCCTTGGACCAGGCGGTGGTTTCTCAGGTGTGACTCCTGAGGCACAGGAAACCGAGGGAAAAATAGATGCATTTGACTTTATGAAAATCAGAACCTTATGGGCCTCGAAGGAAACTGTCAGGAAAGTGCAAAGACAAGCCCAGGAGGGAGAGGATGTTTACGAGCCGTGTGTCTGCCAAGAACGCGTAGCAAGCAGCTTGTGTAACGTAGCGCTCAGTGTCCGGTTAAAGCTGGACGAGGGATCTGGAGAGACGCTTCTACAGAGAAGACACACAGCTGGCCGCTGCCTGCGTGGAAGGGTTTGCGGCGGCGGCGTCCCCAGGGGAGTGCAGATCAAACCAGCCTTGAAACGCCACCTCGCTCACCTGCACTAGGATGGCAGCGGCGAGAAGGACGTGAGCTGCACCAGAGGGGACACTGGGGGATGCGGGGGATGCAAGCCTCGCTCGCTGCTGGTGGGAACGTGAAATGTGGCAGCTGCTGGAAACCTGTGTGTCCCTCAGAAAGCGAACCACGGGATCACCACGTGGCCCAGCATTTCCAGCCATCAGCGCACACTCAAGAGGACGGATGTAGGCGTTCACACAGAGGCTGGTCCGAGAGTTTGCAGCAGCTTTATTTACACGGGACATGTTGTATATACGTGCGACAGAAGGGACAGGAGCAACCCGGTGTCTGTCAGCTGGCGCCTCCTCACAGGGGGCCCGTTCATCATGAAAGGAGAGACGCGTCGGCACGGGGATCGTGTGGATGAGCCGGGAACGCCTGTGCTGCGTGGGCGAGGCCAGACCCCGATGCCGCCCGGCACCCCGTGCTGCTCCCCGGCTCTGCAGCCCCTGAGCGTGGGCCCAGGATGCCCGCCTGTCCCCGTGCAGTCTTCCATTGAGACAAGGTGGTACCCTTGGGCGGGGAGCCTCCCGTCCGACTGAAGTTGGAGATTCACGTCCATTCCTCAGTCCAGCTCATCGAGTGCCGCGTGGTCTGAGGTACAACGTGGAGGTTTGACTACGCGGCCCCTCTCCGTGCAGTGGGCGAGCAGGACGGTAACCTGGCCACCGAGCAGCACAAGGGCACGGTGTCCCCCATTTGCGGCCCCAGGACAGATTCGCAGGCGTAGGGCCCTGGGCTGCATCGTTCCAAGCGAGGGAGTTGGCGGGCCTGTCACCTGCTGTGGCTGAGGGGACTTCTCTGAGGACGCTGTTTGCTCTCACCCCCTCGTCCCACCTCCACTTCCCCAGAGGCACAGGCTGTCCATCGTCCGTCGTGGGGACACGTTGCCAGAGCTCCTTCCCGTGGGTCCCCTAGAGCCGGGCTGTCAGGCTAGAGGTGGAGACGTGGGGGCAGAGCTCAGCCCGGAGGCTCGGGAAGGACCTGGACAGATGGAGAAGCAGCAGGCCCCCCAGGGCCGGGCAGGGGCCGAGCAGCTTGGACCCGAGGGGGGGGGGTGTGAGCCCCGCTGGGGACGCCGCCTCTACTGGTCCCGCCTGCGGGCAGGTGTGGGAGGGGCCGATGGGTCCACACGAGTCCTGTCATCAGTGCGGGTGGGCTTGGGGTGACAGTGCCTTTGCCGCAGGTGGTTGAAGTCGGCTGAGGACCAGGGCGCCAGCCGGGCGCCTTGCAGTGGGACGACGGCGCTCCCCATCTGAGCCGCCGTCCACAGGGCGGGCCGTGGGCAGCACTGTGAGGGTGCAGCCCTGAGCCTGCCCTCCTCGGCCTCTGCAGGGTCAGCTTGAGGCCCACCAGGAGGAGGGCATGGTGGTCTCACACTTGGCCGTTGCCGGCGTGGGGATCTGGGTGGCCTTCACCTCGGGGTCCACCCTCCGCCTGTTCCACACAGAGACCCTCAAGCATCTCCAGGACATCAACATAGCCACCCCCGTCCACCACATGCTGCCAGGTAAGAGCGGAGCCGGCGGGTGGGGCGGGCCTGGCAGTCTCTGTCCTGTGTGTCCCCCCACCCCCGCCCTGGGAGAGGTGCTCAGGATGCCTCTGTGACTCCCACCTTTGCCTGGAGCCCAGCGAGAGTGCCGCCCAGTTTATAGATCGGAAGCTGAGACCACACAAGCCTTCCCATTGTTCTCAAGGCGCTGGGGCAGGAGTGGGGGTGGGGCAAGGACTGCAGTGGAAGAGCCGGGGGTCCTCAGGGTGGGGGTCACAGGGCAGCCTTGGCTGGGGTCCGCTGGCCCCGAGAGGGCAGGGTGTCCATCAGCGGGGTGAAACCAACCAACGTGCAGAAGTGGGGGTGTGGGACCTGCAGAGCTAGTGTGTGCCTGTGCGTGCCTGGTGTGCATGAGCACGTGGCTGGTGTGCACACGCATGTGCTGGTTGTGTGTAAGCGTGCAGGTAGGTCTGTATAAGCAGGTAGCTGGCATTTGTGTGGTCACGTGGCTGGTGTGTGTAAGCGTGTGGCTGGTGTTGCCACTTGTGGACCCTCCGTGTTTGCCTGTGCATCCATTATGTACGAGTGTGTGGCTGGTGTTTCAGCGCGTGCCCGGCACACGTACGCTTTAGCTGGCGTGCGGACATGCAGGTCGCGTGCGGGAGCCTGACTGGCAGTGGCAGAAGCGGCTGGGAGGGTGAGCTGGCCCGGCTGAGGCGGGCTGGGAGTTAGGGGCAGGTGGGACACACTCTCGGCTCCCGCGGGAGGAGAGACAGATGAGACGCAGAGCACGGGGCTCCCACCCACCCACCGTGGACACCTTGCAGGAACCCCCCCTCCTGGGGTGCCCGTGTCCCCAGTTCCTGTTAAATCAAAACTCAGGGGTCACAGGTCACAGAGTTGCGACCCCACGACTGCTGTTGGCCCTGAGCCGCAGGATGGACTGATCTCCCTGTCTTTCCTTGACTCTTGCACTTCTGGTAACGACGCCCTTGATTCTTATCGCCCCGCGTGGCCTTTGACGTTCGGATGCGGTGCTTCTGGGCTCCTGCAGAACCGGGGACCGTACCGTCAGGCGGGGCACCTGCGGCCCCGGTGTCCCGAGAGCCCTCCTCCAGTCTGCGGTCGCCGTCACCCGCACGCTCCCCCTGCCCGTCCTGGGCCCCGCTGCCCCCTCGCTCACCCCGGGCCTGTCCTCGGGGCTCTTCCTCGGCAGCGTCCTGTCCACGGGGAGCGTGCTGCTTGTGTGGCGTGCTCCCCCGCACCTGCGTGCTGTGTGTGAGGTGGTTCCTAGCTCACTGTGCTGCGGTGCTTCGTGCTTTGTCTGCATCTCACACCTGCTCCCGGATGTGCGGCCCTGGGCCTGGTGGGCTGCGAGGGAGGTGGGCCCTTTAGAGCGGTGTTCAGGGACGCTCGGAGCGAGGGTCCTCTTGTGACACCTGGTGCTTGAGTCCCGTCCTCTGAAAGGTGTCTGAAATCCATCAGATTCTCATTGCGTTTTGTGAGCTGGAGACCAGGGAGGCTGAAGACCCACGTCTTTCCCCTCCTCCTTCCAGCCGTCTCACCCCCGAGCCAGTGTTTCACAGCGGGAAGCGCCATCGAGGTCTGCCTCGCCCTTAGGTGCTTGAGTGCGTGTGTGCGCACACCCATGTGAACACGTGGAATTGCGGTCGCTGGGCCACCGTCCTCCCGGACGGACGGACACACAGGGTAAAACCTCGTCTAGAACGTGCTCCTGGGTGGGGCTCGTTGCACACGTGTGACAGTGACCGTGAGGTGGTCCTCTCATGCACTCACTGGAGTATAAACTTCTCAAGCCAGAAAGAACAAAATTTGAAAGAAAAAAAAAGACTGTACTGTAAGTCACGGCTTTTTTATAGCTTAGCAAAACTGGTAAAATCTATCTAGTTCCCTGGAGGCGTGGGCTCAGCGCGCCTTCCCCGTGACTGTGACTGTGAGTGTGAGGAGCTGGCCTCTCCCCTTCCGTTGGGGCTCAGTTCTCAACACCGCGCTAGCTTGAGGTCTTGGCGGAAACCGCAGCAGGCCGACACCGCCCCGGGGGGGACGCACTTTGGGGGCCAGCTCGCAGGTTTCTGGGGGCGGCGGCCACGCCTCTCGGCTGCGGGGCTGCTCCGAGGGGCCGCGGCTCCGGCAGGTCACGAGAAGCTGGAGTGACGTCGGCGCAGCTGCTTCCTGCTGCGTCTGGGACGCTCCAGGGAGGATATTTGCATGTTCTAGGGCAGGGCCTCCCGCCAGAGTGGCCTTTCCACGTCCCCGCTGACTGAGCCCGCGGCCTGCCAGGGTGACGTAGCCCAGTGAACAGGCCAAGTGTTCATTTCAGAAAAAATCAGTGTGACTCTTCTAAACGCCATCAACCACGTCGTAAGGGGATTCAGCAAATTAAACCAGACTCAGGACTGTTTATGAATTAGCGGACAAACTGAGGCCCAGGTTTCCTGTCCCTGGGCTCCTGGTGCCACCCCGGGCTGACCAGCAGCTGCTTGACCAGGAGCCGACGGTGCCCGCTGCCTCGGTTTCTGTGCTCGCGAGCTTGCGTCGCCGCAGCTGGTGGGCCGGCCCCTCCGGGTGTCTGTAACCCACTCAGACCCCGTGCAGCCGTCATCAGCATCCCAACCCCCCCCCG